AAACCAAAAGTTAAATCTTTGCAACAATTCTAATATCATAAAACAGAAAATCCCATAGCTTATGTGAGGATCCATTATACTTCTGACTCTCATCCCCTCAGAACCCCAAGTCTTACTATAAGTGGTATTATTATAAATGGACTGCCTGTTTTCAAAAAAGATTTAATTCACATTTCCACGTGTGCATGTATAATAAATATTGGTCTACATTTCAAGTATGCTTCTACTGAGTAAAGCAAGATTAGCCTGTTCTCATTTTTAAAAAACTTGTTCATTAGGAGAAAACCCTTTTAATCTGCAATAATGGGAGCCAAAATAACTAGAGAAAAGGAGATTCCGAGGACTCCTTTATGGACACAATCTCCATCAAGCACTGTGCTCTTTTGTGTGTGTGTGTGTTTCTTTTCTAAAGCAGTCAGAACCTAGGAATTTACGTTCTCTGGCATAACAGTGTATCAGAGAGGAAAATATTTCTATTTCTTTCAAGGTAAAACCAGCACAATTAAAGAATGACAGTTGAAACTAGTTGTATTAAACAGGGTTCTCCAGAGAAACCAAACCTATCAGATGTGTGTACAAACGTATTTAACGTGTGTACAAACGTATTTAAGTGTGTGTGTGTATGTATGTTATATATATATATATATATATATATATAAATTGGCTCATGTAATCATGGAGGTTGTACAAACGTATTTAAGTGTGTGTGTGTATGTATGTTATATATATATATATATATATATAAATTGGCTCATGTAATCATGGAGGTTGACCAAGTCCACAATCTGCAGAGCAGGCCAGCAGGCTGGAGATCCAGAGAAGAGTTGATGCAGCCTGAGTCCAAAGATAGTCTGGGGGCAGAATTCCCTCTGGCTGGGGAACCTCAGGCTTTTCTTCTTAAGGCCTTCAACTGATTGGATGAAGCCCACCCACATTATGGAGGGCAGTGTTTTAAAGATTTATTTATTTATTTATTTGAGAGAGAGAGAGAGTGGGGGTAGGGGCAGAGGGCGAGAATCTTCAAGCAGACTCCCCGCTGAACCTGGGGAGGGAAACAGGCTCGATCTCATGACCCATGAGATCATGACCTGAGCCAAAACCAAGAGTCGGACACTTAACCAACCGAGCCACCCGGGTGCCCCATAAGGTCAACTGATTATAAATGTTAATCACATCTTAAAAAATACCTCCGCAGCAACATCTTGTCTGGGTACCCCGGCCCGGCCAAGCTGACGCATAAAATTAACCATCACACTAGCCAAAAGTCAAACATCTTCGGAGTAGAAAAATTTATTATTGACCTCAGTGTTGAATAGAATGCAGGGAAGTCAAGACATTCTGGGTTTTGTTGTTTTGTTTTAGTTTTAGGCTGAAAGTGCCAGTATTTGACCATTTTTGATCTCCAAAAAACGGGTAACTGAGTATGATTCAATACAATATTTAGGCTTTCCAGCAGTTGCAATGATGCTGTCATCATCACACGGATGCCTAATCAGAAAACAACCTTCTCTTTATAAAGCTGATTTCTTTGGAATACCCCTAGGACTTAGCACAAAGTGATGCGCTTTGCTGAAGAAATGTCTGATTAAGGAAAAGTGACAGCAAAACTCAAGCTATCTATAATCAGACTTGAAATTCCGTCTCCCCTCAATGGTAAACCACTGGTTTGAACTTTTTCATTTAACAGTGACACAAAAGAAAAATGCACAAACTGCATTTCGAATTACTTTTCCATAAGGGAGATTATACCTTAAGTGAATGCATCCCAAACACACTTTTTCGAAGTATTGTAATTAAGAAAAGCATCATATTTTGATAAACAGTCCTTGAAATACTTCATATGCATGAATTTAAATAAAGATGTATTTAGTGTTAACGTTAAGAATTAACAAAGGCATGCTTTTTGATTTTCTGGAAGTAAGCAGGTGAAAAGAGGGACTGCCGACACTGCAAATCGCTGTTCAGTTTCTTTCTCTCTCTGAAAGTGGGAGAGCCTTAAAACAGGAAAGCCAAAGGTAAAGAGGGGATTTTCCTATCGCCCTGAAAAAGGTGCTGTGAGATACATAAAACATGTTTTCTACAACTGATTCCTGCTCAGATTATTAACTGAATCCTCAAATAATGTCGCTCTCCGCATTGCTGTTTCACTGATGGAGTTTTAGACGAAGTGGTGTGTGTGTTTTGGTCCAGATAGCTGTCAAGGGAGGGTTTTCAGCAAAATTTTAGACAAAGAGCCTAAAGGAAACTTCTGAAAGGATAATTGATAGCACCGGCAGACAGCAAGTGTTAAAGAAATGCTTAATGCCAATCTTATCTCACACGAACAAGAGACGTATTGTTTATACATTCTAATCGCCTTTTTGGAAATTTTTTTTGGACGCTCACCTGGATTAGTTTTGATGCAGGATTGTTCGGCTTTTTTTTTTTTTTAATTTATTTACAGTTTCTATCCTTCCTTTAAAGGTACAAAAGTTTTAAAACAAAACAAAAGAAACCCCGGAACTTTACATTTTGTTTCAACAACAAAGTATTGTCCTTGAGTCCGCTATTAGAATCGTGTATTTACCCAATGAGAAGATATTTAAAATTCAAAGTGAAAAGAAAAAGTTATACCAAATAGAAATGTATCATCTATTAAAATTTCAGGAAGATCTACATTATCTAAAGCCATTCTATAATTTTATTCATATATTTTGTGGAGTTCACATATCTTTTTCTTACAGCAAACATAACACTGTAGGCCACAAGAAGCTGCAGTACTATTGTTTCATTAGCAGCAAATTAATATTTTATATCTGGGTAACTGGACAATAAATAGCCTGCTTCTTTGGATGTGGATGTTTAAAATGTAGTATCACTGCAGCTTCATAATGTGATTGCTATTTTACAGAGCTTATACACACACAAAAAATATGATCTTTGTCTATATTTTATACAAATACAACAGTAGTTTGTGAATACATTTTAAGTACATGATATACATGATAAGCCACTTGATTTCCCAATATCACAGAATAGCGATTTTAAATGCAATAAAAATATACAAAATTCAGCCTGGAATGCAGATTTTTCTTTTCTATTTTGACTCAAAACTTTATCATTAGAACATTTTTAGAGTACTAGTCCAAACACTTTTTCGTCAGCTAAGAATACAATTTCAGCAGTCCAGCTTATGTTCAGGCATGATGCAATCCATTTCCTAATGGATTCCCAGTTTTTGTTAAATTCAAAGGGCTGTTAGTAACATACAGCATGTTCTTCACTCCACACCATATTATAAAGCCCACTTTTCATTCTGAGTTATAGTCACCTTGTGGACAAAAGCTGGGTTTGTTCTGATAACATTTGCACGTCCAAGATTTCCTTTTGCAAGTGCACGTGAATACATTGTGGTGGGTGGTGTAAAAGTCTGTTAATGACAGATTAAGTCACAGTATAAAAATATATTGAACACCTTTACGCCTAATGGAGTCCTTTTTATCCTATGGCTAAAAAAATATGACTGAACGAGACAGAGACGTTTGTAGCACCATGAAGAGTTGTATCCCAAGTTACATTAGCAGCATGATCCAACATAATATTGAAGGAGTGTTTCTGAGAAGATAAACATTCATTCTGGTTCATCTGTACCACTGAAGCTTATACAAGGAAGTGTTTTATACATTAGCAATAGTTCTGTCATTTCTAGAGCTAGATAAACTTCGCAAAAGACACTGCCTTTCCATCCTCAAAGGGTTGATAACGGAGAAGGGCCTAAGGGTGATGATCTAAGTGTTCCTTTACCAACGTGGGCAGTTTGTTTTATGTGATCCAAAAGGCGCTCCGTAGGGGTTTCTAGCACAAAACTACACAAGGCGACTTATGTGGTGGATCTATGGAATCATGACAGACTATCTTTGTTGTAGACACGGCTGCTGACACAGTGTGAGAAAAAGAAGACCAAGTCAACTTAGGCACTATTTGTCAGAGATAACAGTCCACTATTGCTAATGAAGAATACTCGACATTTAAAAGACCTCCTCCAATGTCACATGGATCTCAGTAGGCTAGAAGCAACTTGGGCGAACTGGTATTTTTTAATTTACATACTGGGAAGACAGTGTGTTTTGAAACACGTAAACCTTGTAAAAAAATAAACCATTGTAAAACCTTATGAAAAGACACACACTGATTCTGTGCAATATAGCAAATTGATAAGAAAACACTGTTAAAATGTACCTGTTTAAAATACCATCTACCATTTTTGAACACAAAGCATTATATATCAAAGGCCTACATATATATCATCTAATGGCACTTGAAACAAATTATAATAAGTCTTAAAATAAAAGGCATAACCTATAAGAAAGTTTCTGTAAAGGTTTAGATTCATTTTGAAAGTGCTATATCTTGTAATATGTGTAGTATAGAGGTTGACCAAGCTCTATTTTTTAAAAAAATATTGGCCTATATATGTGTATTGCTTACTAGATGAATGATCCTGAAATATGTACTCTTTAACATTCATTATTAGCTTAATAAAGCAATCAGCTCTGGCTCATGTTTCAGTCAGTATATGGTTTTTAAAAACCGCTACTGTCCAAATTAACACAATATATCACTATATTCCACAAATGACTAAGAATAATAAAGCACAAGCAACAAATAGGCAAAAATACATAGCTTGGAAGAAACACTAAGTGAAATTAAAAAGTTGCACAAAGAGTGGTGTGTGATCAGCCAGGACAACTGAAGTTTCTGAAAACTGCACTTGGTAATAGGATTTTAAAATGTGAATTTTAACAGTGACCAATAACTATAAAGATGGTATTTGCATACATCAGTGGATAATATTGCTTACAGTGCTGAGACCCTTCCACACTCATGCTTTTGTGTCTGGTGATTGAATTTGTACACACGTGTGGAAGTTCAAACTGAATGAGGTTCAATATCTTGTCTGAGGTCCAAATTCTAAACTGAAATATTTTTACTTAATGATAATCCCTTTTTTTAAAAAAAAAAACAAGCAAAGGCACTACTAGAAATTTCAAGGATGATGATTCTGGCCACGGGGAGAATGAAAACAGCATTGGCAATAATTATTTTTAATCACACCCAGTTGATGTAAAAACAAATGTCAATTTTTTCTAGAAAAAAAGAGCCAGTTCTGCGTTACATCCTTGTTAGACCATTGTGCAATTAAGATAAATGAATCTGCCTCATGTTTAACAGAAATTCTCTCAAAAAGGGTTTGGTGACCAGTAGAGTCAATCTGAAAAACACACGAGCTGAATTCCCTCTTCCTTGGAAGTATTATTTCAAGTCTATGAGGCGGCAACAGGCCGAGAGGTGTTCACATGAAAATTAAGACTCTACAGTTTTAACCCTGGTGCCCTGAAAGATGTGCCTCCATGTATCTGAATTCCATGCAGGGCGAGAATCGGGCTAAAAAATATATATACATATATGGCACCATTCCCCATTTCCAAAATGCTTTATTGAGTAAATCCTGGTACTCCCTTTTTAATTGTTTATTAGCAGTGAGATACAGCCTGTTAAGGCCGACGTCTCAGGTCATTGACTTGACTTCTCCTTAAGCAAATTTTAGACAAAGTAAAGTAGTGCTTCTACACTTGTATTTGTGACGGCTGCGTAAAAATAGGTTTTCTATTTATTTGTGCTCTGTCACCAATTTCTTTTTCCTTTTTTTTAATGGCAATTAAAGCAATATTGAACACTAATCATTCAACTAATGATTTAAGTAAGCAATCTGTTTCATAGAAACTAAAGGAAGCAGTAATAAAGCAGAGCTAAAAGCCTACTTTCAGAGCAAATATTCTCCTAATCAAAAGCTTAGGAGCAGTTTGAAAAATTTTAAATGTATTTCCTTATTAAAACATATATAATTTTAATGCCTTTGGAACACACTTTTTTTTATAAAATGTAATTTTTTATAATAAAATTTAAATACATAAGTATAAAAACTACTGCTCCTAGAATTTAAAAAAAAATAGGAGCATGATAAAATATCAGGAGCCAAAGCTCCCTTAAGAGAGCAACTCTGATTCTATGAAGTGCGATATATGTGTGTATGTGTGTGTGTATGTATGTGTGTGTGTGTATAATATATATAGTGAAACCCCCATTTACATTATTACAATTTACATTTCTCCACAAATTATACTACTCCCAAATATTTTAAATAATGTATTATATTCAGTAATCTGCACTCATTTTTAAGAAATTCTTGGTAAACATCGCAATCTGCAGTGATAATTGGCCCTATAAATGAAAAAACAAGCTTCTGTATAGGGCTAATGAGTGCTCAGAAAATATTTTTCTTTTTTTTTTTTTTTTAAAGAGATATATACTCTTCTATAAACCTTCCCCTTCATACCCACCCCAAAAGACAGGGTCCCAAAATAAGGTGTTAACAAGTGCTTAATAGATATGTTTCGGAGGCTGATGTCCCAACCAATATTTAGAAAAGTATAAACTGACCTTCAAAAAGGTTATGGTGGTTGTCTAATCTGAGGAAAGCCCACAGTAACTATTTTATTCAGTCAACACAATATTCTTGATTGTTACTTTCACATTAAGACAGTGCTTGTTTTGCTTTAGATTCCCGCCCCACTACAAATTCAACTGATTTGCAACTCTCCCCCGATTTCCCAGAGACGTGTAAAAGGGGTTTTACTGTATATATTTTTAGTCGCTTAAAACCTTGTGGTCATTCCTCAAATAGTTTTCTAATGCATTTAATTTTAAAGTCTCCATCCGAAGATAGCAAGGAAAGAAAAATCAACACGGAGTAAGAAAGATACCATGGGGGTAGGGCTGTTGTTTTGTTTTCTGCTTGGGGCTCTTATGGGAGAGAAAACTGTATTAAGTTCACAAGAAGTGATGTGAGCGATATGCTTTTTCTTTACTCCTGAAGAGTCTAGTTTCCAACCCTGGCAACAAGGGCCAGGATCCCTAGACCAGTTCCAAAGCTGAACCAAGTGCTTCATACATCTATCTTTCTTCTTAGGAGACTATCCCGCCACAGAAGAAGAGACAGTCCACTCTGGGATAAACACCCCTGACATCTGTGGTTCCACAGTGGCTCTCGATTCTGGACTAACTGTGGACTGACAATTAAAATAGAATTGCTGGCTGCACTTGACCCACCCTTTGGCCGTGAAAGATGAAAGAGATCTAGCCATACGTCGACTCTGAAGACTCCGATGCCGTAACACGATGAGTACTATTAAATGGGAAAGAGAGCAACTTTGCAACGTGGCAAAATATCCTGCGTACGAGTTTTAGGCCAACTACTGAGCAACATGGAATGCCGCGTCACCTCACCAGGAGTCTCTTTTTGCTATAAGTACTGGTGCTTTGTGTTTAGGTTTTGTTTTCCTTATATGTGCATAATATAGACGGCAAATATTTGAGCCAGACAATAGCAAAATCTTCAAAATATACTGACCTGAAATTACGGTATATCTAAGAAACATCTATTATCTCCCCAAACTGGATTCTGAATTCATCTGAGAACATTTCCTTATGAATCCATTTAGAGACTAGTAAAAATTTAAAAACTCAGGTTATTCATATACATTTTAGAAAATGTACATTCTATTGCAAAAATCTTTAATGAGCCAAATGTCAAAAGGTAGAGCCACTGTTATTGGACAGAACTGAAAATTTTAAGATCTCAAAGCGATTTAAACGTGGGACTCGTAAGACTTTACTGCTAATAATGGCTTTCCTAGAGGAAAAATCATCTTAATATACGACAATTGGCAGTGAGTGTGGACAAAATACCCAGGTAAACATAACTGAACGCAAATGGTTCCAAAGCTCATGTATAAAGCCTGTTTCTATTTCATACTGGCTTAATGAAAATTGGTACTGTACAAAAGCAGAAGTTTTTATGCTGTTTTAAAGTAGGCACTAAAATAAAAATGGTCATCTAAGGCAGGGCTACACGTAGGTTTCTGTAATCAGTCCACGTCTTGGACTCCTACTGAAAAGCTTGATGGAAACGTGGCAGTGTGGTGCTCGTGCTGAAGCTACTGGTGAACGCTGCTGACAGGGAGTGCAGGGAGCCGAGCCCTAGAGTGTTTGCAGGATCCTGAAGATCCTGTGTCTGGGGGGGCAGCTGAGACACAGAAGAATGAGCTTCTTCTTGGGAATAGCTCATTCCAAGGCTCCCCACTGAGATAGGATTATAGGGAGGGCCATTGAGGGGTATGAAATTAAACAACTGGGAAAAATCCAAGGCGGGCGTGTTTAGGGGGTCACTGATAGAAATAGAGCTTTTTGACAGGGAGAGGTCCCCTGCACCATCATCGAGGGACCCGACCTGAGGATCCAACCCTAGTTTAGATGATGATGCTTGGGAATCCTGGGATGAGGAGGGCACGCCACCTTGCAGCTCCATCAGATAACTCTCAATCTCCCCCTTTAGTGGCTGTTCTTTTTCAGGAATAGAAATGGCATATGAGGTAGAACTGAATGGGTATTTGAAAGAAAGGTGGTGAGAAGGATGGACAGCGTCCATATCTATTGGGCACGTCATTCCCAAAGGTAAAGTCGTGATCATTTGGTGGGCAGGTCCCGAGCTCTGCATGGACTGAAATGGAGTGTTATAGAGGTTTAACTGCAGAGTGTTTGTGAATGGCTTTGACAACAGTTCGCTGGAAGGTAAGGACATCACCGGCAGGAGCTCATCTTTTATAGGCACAGAAACGTTGCAGGTGAATGGATCCAGAAAGTCCACCGGTTCTGTTTTGACCTTCAGAAGTTCTTGATTGTGACTCTTCTTCATGTGTCGAGTCAGGTGATCCTTCCGCCCGAATCTCTGTGCACAGTACTGACAGAGGAAGTCCTTCCTTCCCGTGTGCACCACCATGTGTCTCCGGACGTCCTTCCGGGTGTAGAAGCGGCGATCGCAGTGCTCGCACTGGTGCTTTTTCTCTTTCACCCCGCCGGACGACTTGCCGGCGTGCGATTTAAGGTGCTCCAGCAGCACTCCCGTGCTCTCGAAAGTCTGCAGGCAGACCTTGCAGGTGAGGTCGCCGCTCGTCGCGGCATGCAAGGCCAGGTGACGCTTGAACCCGAGCTTGGTGTTGTAGTTCTTGCCACACTCTTCACACTTAAACGTCTCTTTGTTGGGGTCGTGCGTATGGAGGTGATTCTTCAGGTGATCTTTCCGGTGAAACATTTTCTCACAATAATTACACTTGTGGGTTTTCTCAGGAGAATGAGTAGCCATGTGCCTTGAAACACAGACATATTCTGTCAGTATCACGACACAAATGGCAGGGAGTCACTTTTCAAATGGAAGCTAAGCTGCTATGCTAACACAGAGGCTCCCTGCTAACGGACACGCTTTAACTGAACATGCGCTACGAGGACAGTCAATACCCCTCAGCGCTGCAGAGCTCGAGCCGCTGAAGTGGCCACTTCAGGATTCGCTGGTTCGTAGCTATTACTACAGCAGCCAATGAGCGAGACTCAACATACTCACGTAAACGTCCATACCCTCTCCTTGTACTCTCTTTGCACAAATGGAAATTCTACTCTCAGTAAGCATTTCATTAAAAAAAAAAAAAATCCAAAGACACTAAGACATCAAAGTATGTGACTTAGAATACTAAAGCTAGCCAACGTCTAATCTACGTTAACATTTCCTCTCTGCAAAGCAGCTCAAGAACGTGTATACAATCATATATACGTTTACAATGGCTTGACATGGGCCAACATAATAGAAAATATAATCTGAAAGACAAATAGAGTTTAATACCTTTGTAATTTGTACTTAGAAACAAAGGCCTTGGTGCAGTCTTGTTGTATGCACTTGTAGGGCCTCTCTCCTGTGTGAGAGTAGGAGTGAACCTTTAATTTCTCAACACTGTTAAAGGCCTTGTCACACAGTTGGCAAGGAAAGTTTTTTCTTGGTTTGGTTTCACCACGCTTACGTTTCCCTGAAGGGACTTTCTGGGTATCTCTTACTTCTGACAAATCACCAGGAATGACAGTGGCCATCGCAGCCTAAAGCAGGCCTTCTTGTTGGACACTTGGGAACTGCCCAACTCCACTAAATGATTTAGCTTTAGGTGGCTTCTCAAGTTTCATGTGGTCGTAAAAGAAAGCAAAAAGGGACTGGAAAAAAAAATAAGAAACAACTAGTTTGTAACTAAATTTAATTTTTTAAATTTTTATTTGCTATGTGATGCTTTTGAATTCAAAAAGAAACCATAAAATGGATTCAGCTGGTCTAATGTAATATCTGTAGGTTTCTTTACATTTGCCAAAATACACATTAACGCATTGCTCAGAATGAACAGTTCACACCCCCCCTAGAAATTCCACCTGACAAATGTTGTACTTAGGGAAAGCAGTAGTGATTTCAGGAACTCTCACGAAGCATCAAAACATGACACTCAAAGTAGCATTATGAAGCTTCAATTTTGACACGGGATTAGACAACAGAAATCTGATTAAGAACAGAAAAATATTTCTGCAAATATCTTAAGGTCGAAAAAGCCTCTTAATTTGTGCACGTCAACTCTAGTCAGACTCTGTGTTATAGAGAAATACAGATAAGAGACTGGAAACTCTTTTAGGCACCCTGTGAACCGTTTGGCCCATGGAAAAAGTGCTTAATGCAGACACGGGAGGCCTGAAAGAGTTGAAGGCACCACCCAGAGTGGAAATTTGCTCTCAATACCATGTCATCACACACAGAGGGATTTCCGAGTCAAGAGTGGAAATGACTTCTCTTCGTAACAAATATGCATTCTGGGAATGGTAACACCTTGTGAAGTTATTTGAGGTGAGGATCAGGGCTCCTTATCATTTGTGGGGGGGGGAAGATTTGGTCGAGGTAATTTTCCTCACCTTTTTGCACATCACAGAAAATGATTCTGTTCATTGGGCACACTGAGGTTAGTGGATGAGCCAGAGTCCTCAGGCCTCCCCAAGAGCTGAGGGGATCAGTCTTTGGCACACCTGTAACCCGTGGGCAGTACACCAGTGCGACTTTTGGCTTGGAGCACAATACCTGTGCGAGGACACATCATTATGGAGGCATTTCAGGTAAAAGGTGTATCAGAGTTTCAATTCACTATGGGTGCTGTGAGGAAGAATGACATGTACAGATCGTACAGCAAAGATTATGTCTACTTAAACAAAAATGTTTAAATTGATTGGAACCTTTGGAAATTCATGGACAAGAGATAGTAAATATTATCAACTGTATTTCTCAGAGTAAGAAACCAACTCTCCAAAGATCCACCTGATATAAAAGAGTTAAAGGGGACTCGAGTTTCATGAGCGCCAGTCTGGAAATGTACTCTTAAGAGACACAGAAATGTCTCTTAAAAAAGATCTGCTTTTTGAAGTGAAAACTGCGCGTGGCTAAATGATGATTAATCAACTACGACTCAGTTGTATTTTTCATCCTATTATGTATTTAGAAACAAACGAAAACCACTTTCTTTATAGCCCCTGTTTTGGCATCGGACTGGCCCTAGTTTGCCTTTACAAGCTAGGTATGTCTACTGAGTTCTGCAGATTCCAGTTATACTTTTGCAGGGGCCCTAAATTTAACCTAATTTCTGTAAGACTACATGTATATTACAGTAGATGCCGCTGTGCTTTAATGTAGAGGCTGTCACTAAATAGGCAAAATAGGGCAGTTATCCACTCACTTGATTAAAAGGTAAGGCCTGTGGGCAAATTAACCAGTGTCTGCTTTGTGCACCCTTTCTTCCTCAGTAAGGAGACACCTTGACAAGGCCTTCCCTTCAAGCTGTGCAAACTGTCTAAATCTCCTCTGCAGTTTAAAAGTGACGTTAACACAGTTAACACAACTGACATTATTAATATGCTAACATAATATGCTCCCCTGGTTTTAGATTTCCTGAACTTCAGGGACTTGTTCTTTCCCTGCTACATTCCCATTCAAGAGCCAACTTCTCTAGCTCTCCCAGAACTATCTACGCAGCTATTCTGCTGTGACCGGCAATGACACTGTAAATTGGTAGAAAGCACTCTGCCAAGGCAGGAAAAAAACAGTAATTCTGACTCTTTGATTTCCTAACATGATGCTTTTATGCACCTATTTAGAGCACTGTGGGAAATAAGCTGATAAATTTGTCAACTGTAAAATCAACATGGAATGCCAAGTATCTAAGTCCCTGTATATAACTAGTATCTGAAAATATTTCAAAGACTGGTCATATTTGTTATTGTTGTGTTAAGAGTTCCAAGCATAAGGAGCAGAGAATTCCAGTTGAGAAAAAAATGATAACTTCTAAGTCAATGAAAAAAAGGTATTGAAAGTACACCATGAAACAATATACAAACATTTGATTATATTAAATTTGGTGATACTCAATAGGGAGTAACAAGTGAATTCTGTTATCTTTGCATGTACATACTGAGCAATGAAGAACTGTAGATTTCAAATATTACACTTTTCTAAGACCAGCTGAAATTTTTTCATGGCTAATAATATCTTTTCATCTCAACATATTACAAAACTCAAATTAGTTATAGGTGCATTTAAAACTACAGGATAATATAAGGTTGTGAGCTCAACATTGAATAAAAGTCCACATTCATAATATGCATATCAAATACTTTAAGGATACATGCATAAAACTGTAGTGATTCTTGTTCAATGCATACCTGATGACAGATGGAAAAAGCCTCAGACCTTGATCTTAGCCAGTCCCATTGACTCTTCGTGGAAGAGAGCGGAATCCAGTCCTTCCCATTTTGGCCGATCTGTGAAACAAAAAATAAGAATGGACTACACTCTAAATGGAATCAGTATGTAAATGATGGAAAATAAAGGATAAAAGAATTGCAATTTCATGGCACATGCTTACATTCCATACTCTGCTGACGAGTCATGCATTAATTTTCACCAGTTGCAAATTTTTATTAGTTCTAAGCACACTTACATAACCAAATAAATGCAGAAACAAAAAGTAAAGTAGTATTACCTATATAAATGGCATTTTGTGATGCTGAATGACTCCCCACTTCTTTCCCAAATTCAGTTTTTAATTTTTTTAAATCTAACTTGCCTACTGAGAGAAATGGATATTAGGGTTACTCTCTGTAAACCAAACTGATCAAAATTTCATTAAGCTTAATAATTTCATGGAAGAGACAAACTCTGTGCATCTGGAACCTCACCAAAGAAGAGCAGACTCCTGAAGAAAGCACCTCATCTGCCCACAGGGCACACACTTGTGCAAGGCGGGCCTCTCTGAGCTGCACTTTTGTTACCTGCAACACCTGCTGACTGCTAAAATGTAGCAATAACTCTGCACTCTTTAGATTTCAAAAGCGTGCAAGGGAAGTTAAATATGGGTTTGCTGCAGAGGTATCAGAAACAAGGCATCATTGGGTTTTAAAAGATCATTGTCGAAAAATCTTAAAATATCTGTAAAAAATGCCTATTGGCATGATCTTCAGTAAACTAAGAACATGCATAGAGGAAAAAATCTGTTAATAATTCTTGATTGTACAAGTAAATGTGAAAAGAATGGTCAAAAGGCAGAAAAAACAACCAGGATTATCTACTGTAGAGACTACAGGGCATAAAGAGATTAATAAGCTCTGAATATTTTAAAGATGAACGTTCAGAAATCGTGATTTTAAGAACATGAGGGGGATAATATAAATCAAATGGGTTAAAATACAATAATAAAAGGATTCACCAATGACAAGCTAAATGGAAACAATTTTACGTAACGTTCCAAACACAAATCTAATTAATTTCTCCTGATATCAAATTTTCACATAGAATTTGGTGCATAAATAAAATATTTGCTAGAGAACATTCAAGCATCATTACAAAAATAATAAAGGTATATTTGAAAGCAGCATATTCTCATAGTTTAAAAAAACAAGAAAAATAAAAATTCAGACTAATAAAAGATATTTAAAAAGTTAAAGCAAAAGCTCCATTCTTTTGTAAAGCACAGGACATGCATAAACGGAAGAACTGAATTCCGCACATCAAAATTGCAAAATAATAAAATTAACTTTGTAAATACTTACTTGCCCAGGGCACATACTGAGGTTTTGGTAGGGTAGTTACGAACATGAAAGCCTGTTCTGTGTATTGTGTTATTTTAATAATATAAATACCTTGCAAGTGTAGAGTGTTTTCATCTCTATGACCTCTCTGGAAAATTCAATGGACCCGAGAGGTGGATGCATTTATTATCACTGCCATTTTAAGGTGAGAGGCTCATAGAAGCTGAATATCCTGACAGCATGTATGTGGTCAAGAAGGGGCATAAGCCTTAAAATTCCTTTTTCACTCTTATATGGCTGCATTCTAGGAGAAGGGTAGGTTGGCAAACCAAATACGCAAGTGGATAAATCCCATTATTACATTTAAAAGACAAGAACAGGGAATAGTGCCTATTTTCCCTATCAGAGCTGCCAATATGACCCCCAAAAGGAAACAAATATAAGACTTTGCTTCTTTTAATAAAGTATTTCAATACAGTTTAAAATTTCTATCTTGATTTAAAATATTACTATAGTCTACAAATTACCCATTACATATTTTAGCCTGAAATAAAATAATAAAGCCATCATTTTCATTCATCTTATCACAAAACATAATTCCAAAGTCACAGTTAATTTCCCTAACTTCAATCTAACTATTTTGAGTTCTTATGAGTGACCCACTAATTTCAAAGGGCTGCTAATTATTTCCCCAAACAAAGGAAACCGGGAGCCAGTTAGAGTTCATTATTATTTGGCTTGATAAAATAAACACTGAAAAATATACCGTTTGCATTTATGTAATCCTAACTAAAATGTCAACTAAAATTATCTGTGTTCTTTTTTATAGAGATAAGAAAGACTTTTAAAACGTATTGTAACTACTATTCTGAAAAGTCTACAACAAAATGTGTACTCCTATCTTTCTTTTTTATGTGTCAAAGAGCGGTTATTATGCTTTTCAAAGGATTAAAATTCTTCTTTGCCTTGATCTAAGAATTGTGAAGCAATATACCCATATACCCATTTCAACTCGCCCTGAGAAAGTCACACTTCAGGATGCCCTTCCAGTTTTTGCTGGTACAAGAACACACATTTATTTTCTAGGGCAACTTTGCATACATAAAAACAGTAAGTAAAGGGAACATTGTGTGTGCGTGCACACACACATGTTCATTGTCCTATGTTTTACATTCTAAAACAGTGACTCACACAGAAACATAACCAGCAAAAATGAATCATACATCAGAGGATCTACTAAAACAAATTCCTATGAGGATGCAGGCATAAGAACAGCCCTGTATTGGAAACTGTTTCTATCCTTGCCATTCCACAACTCTGACTGTCATTTGTCTAACAGCTGTGAATTTTTACAACACTTACCTGCATCAATAATTCTTTCATAATTAAGTTAAAAATCAAATATACACTTTGATGATTAAGGGCAAAGGCCATCGATAATCAAAGCTTTATTTATGCTCCCATATGCTAATCATAAAACACCAGGAGTAAACAATGCAGAAAATGTCAACATTTGCTTAAAACATGTTTTTCGCATAAACAGGTAGCTTGCAAAAGGAAACTTAACAACAGTTAATATTTTAATTCACATGTACGAAACACAACAGAGCTTGGGATAATGTGAAAGAAATGAACAAGATAACATAACTGCGGACCAGTACTGAAGTAAGGGCAATGGCATAGTTAGCACATTTTTTTTGATCGTGAACGTTACGTGGAAATTTTTACAGCATTCAATTTTTGTAGGTCTGTAAAGTCCCTTATTAATGGATAATAAAAGGAGAAGTATATCTTGCAAGACTATTACAAATAGACTGTAGGCGGCATTGGGGCAGAAGCTGTGTCAGTTTTATTTATTCACTGCTGTTTCCCATAAAAGTGTTTTTTTTTTTTTTTTTAATGAATGAAAATAATTAAAGCAGGGCAAGTGCTTTCCAGCATCAAAACGAACTATAGGTTTGCTCAATCACTGTAACAGACCTAGGACATAGGACAGAATATACGTATCTATGTTCAAGTAAAAAATAACACGGTACGGATACAATTTGGTTCAACAAACTAAGCCAGGAGAAAGGTATTTTTGAAACTTACCGGCTATTTGTAAAGTCTTAGATTAAAACAACAGCAATTGCCGTAAAATCTAAAATATTTGTTTTGTTTCAGAAAACAAGCCTTCTCGGACTGATCCATTGCTAAGGAATCAGTTCACATAGGTAATATCAATCCAGTCCCCATTCCTAATAAAAATTGCTAAAGTGAAACCACGCCTGGTACCTGAACCCAGGCCTGGCACAGAGCAGGAAGGATGGATGGATAGGTAGATGGTGAGATGGGGCTCCTGATGCCTCAAGAGGACAGAAAGAAGCAGGAGACAGGGCAAAGAGCTGGGATTGTGCCTGATCCACCCAAGTTGTCAGTAGGTACCTGATTAACACATTTTATGCCCCCAATACTGAAAACTACAGTGCTTGTTTTCCTATAGAAGTCACAGTTAACTAAAACTAGTAAAAATAAGGCTGCCTGTTTTGAATGACTATACTTGATGTTTTCAAATTCTGAGCAGGTCATTAAAATGTAGTTCTAGCACAACCCTTTTGAAACTTAGCATAAAATTTAGCCTTACTCATATGTAGAAAGCCTTATGTTTAATATACAAATAATAAAAGCCAACAGACAAGTGAAGAGAAAAAGGAGACCTATTTGTTTTTAAGAACCAACAGGAAAAAGTCAACGGATTCCAAAGTGGAACCAATAAATCTCAACATCAGTTCTCTGTACAATTAGGATGTTCCTTCTGGGCCACCTTGAACCCGGGTATGGCTGTTTTATTACATTTTCTAGGAGTATCCAGACAGAAGGAAGAGACCATCAGATTTTGTCTTCCAATTCTGAAATATTTTCATTGGTTATTTATTATATAGAACATAAATGTCAAGTTAAAAATTTTTTTCTTCTCTTTTAAAAGCTCTCTTTTAATGATCCATAACTTAGAAGTCAGCATTTCCTTTTAACAACTACATGGAGGATTCTTCCCCCTAAGGCTGTGTAATCTCATCAAAATAAAAAGCTAAAAAAATACACATGGGTGGTATACCAGGTAATTCCCTTTTGGTCACATAGGGCAATTTTAGTCAGTAAATTTGCAAAGAGGATGTGTGAGGGGAACTGTGCACAAAGGGAAGCAATGGTGCTTGGGAGAGAGCAAAGAATCAATGATATGTGAATACCAAGTAAGAATGCTTCATCAGAACTTTAACTGTTTTTAGAGGTTTTCCTGGCTTTGTTTTTTGGTATGAAACATTTCCCAAATATTGGTGCTCTGGCTAGGTATAAAGTAGGTGACTGACAGGTCAGCCCAATCTGAAAACTGCCTATTTCCCAAATTGTGAGGGGCTGTTTTTATGACCACTGACTTCTTATATTCCCGGGGCGACAACAAAAATGCCTGACATCAACTCTAAAAATATTCACACGGACGGACCCCAAACATCTGGAGAACATGCCTCCACTCATTTAGGGTTAACTGCCTGATACTCCTAATTTAGACAAACACAGCATCATCTAGGTTCCACGTTTGAACTCTCCAAGCACTCCTATTGCATCTGCCTTCAAATGCAAATCGGAAGGCAGAAACAGTAAATATTCAAACAAAAGTGATGAGGACAAGAAGTTTTATGTAGTTACAAAAGCCCATGCAGAGAATTAGTTTTAAGCCATCTCAAAGTAAAGCGCACTTGAAATATAGGCTAGTGTATACGGGTGTACGAGGAGTTATCAATGTTAAATGTGTGTGTGCGTGTGTGTGTGCAAAATCTTGAGCAGCATTAAACTGTATCATGGAAAAGAGTCCAATCCAGGGAAGGCTCTATTTTTGCCATTAATCTGTCCTTAAGTTATGCCCTTGTGACTGTCCAGGTCACAACCACCTCTGGAAACAACCACCTCTATATATTCCTATACAGCTGAGTAAACAGGATCAGTTCCAGGCAAAAATGTCAAGTCGGGGCGGCCACTCCGTCCTCCACCTCCAGAGGACATGTACACCGCCCAGGCCGTCACAATCAGAAGAGATTTGATAATTACATTCCTTGGCTGATTTTACTTGAACGAGAAAGAACTTCACAACCTTACCCCTAAGGGCGCCTTTTACCTCTAATATAGACTGTGAAGCTCTCCTTGAAATGGCCTGTCTCCCCCACCCCCGGGAATTCTAAATTCATCTGCAGGGAGACTATTATTCATCCTTTCACCCCCCAGCACCTGGTCAGTGTCCTGGCATGTAGTAGACACTTGATAAATATTTGTTGAACATAACTATAGTCCTGATAAGGGATTTCGGGAATCAAAACAGCAGATAAACATGTTTTGGTGTTTCTGCAATTTCAAATCAGTGTAAAGCAAGCTCAGAAGACAAACCCTGTAGGAGGAGGCTGTTAGTTTGCTTTCGCGGAGGAGGAGAAACTTAGGGGGGCATCACAACCACCTGGGGGTCCCTCCTGTCTCTGTCAGGGGTGCTGAAAGCTAGGAACACGTGGGCATGTACTACTCAGAAGCCCGCAGGTGACCTGACAGGCAAGGAGACACAGCCAGGGTGCACTCCATCGGCCTGGATTTTCAGAACATGTCTGCTTTCAAATGTTCTATTGCACAGCTCCTTAAGTACATGCAGTCTGCATCCATTATGACTTATCGTTTGGAAATAGCCAATGAAGCTTTATAGAAAAGAGAAAGGAACAAAGTAACTAGGAATTTTAGCCAGATTAGTTTATGTACCTTTTGTCTGATTGTAAAGCTCTGTTCATGTATACTGTGGGACCCTGCCTGGCTTTCAGCCTGTGTCCTCCTTTCCCAAGGGCTGGGCCCCTGCCTGCCCTCAGTAGAGTTTATGACCTTGAGCCTATCCTCTGGCAGTTGGCACAGCCATCTTTGTTCATACCGTTCTTCCTACCCTAGGGCTGAGGGTCCTGGTCTCTAAACCTCGATCCTGTGTGTGAGGTCCTGCTGACAGACTTACCTGGTCCCACATCCAGGGTGCCTGGACTTCCAAGTATCGCTATACCTCGATTCTGTGGCACTGAGCTGCACCTACAGGCTGGGAAGTCCAGATGCCGGGGTGTGTCCCCTTTCCAACAAGGCTAGCAAATTGCTCTTGTCCCACGGAGTTCCTTATTCTAGCATCTGCCCCATCCCAGCAAGCAGAGTGAGCAGCCCTCCCCATCTGCCCGTAGTTCATCGGATCCCTCCCAATCGACAGGAAGAAGACATAGCGGTAACATGCGATAGTCTATCACTCTAAGCAAGATTCGGAGAAAGAAGAGCTTAAGAGTTCATCTGCAGGCTATTTGGGGAACATGAACAAATAAGCTTTTACAGCAGCTATGCATTTTGTGCACAAAGTAAGGAAGACTGCTCACTGCCAGTATTTCAATCCTTCCATTAGACTATAACTATTAATAAAGTCCTGCTGAACACAATCCATATTGATAGACCTTGAAACAGTAAGTGGCATGCTTATTATGTGGCATGCTTTTCAAAGCTTTTAATATGATATCTTAAATTATTCAGAAACTGAAATAATGGATCACTTTGAAAACCATGCCATATAATGATAAAAGCCACCTACCTGAGGCCCTGCTCCAAACTTTACAAGGTAACCTTATTAATAGACCATCACAGAATGAAGCATTCTGGGTGCCAAATACGGCCAATGCAGCACCAAGAGGCAACCTAAAAAGAAAAGAAGAGTTAGTTTGAAATTCCAAAAGTGCGACCCAATCTGGTTAATGGCACATGAGCCAAATTGGTTTTTATTCATTATATTTTTTATACTTTATGGAAAATCTATCTCAATTCCCATTAGAAACAAACGTGAAACACATACAATATTTACAGTAAACTGAAAAGTGAAAAGTAAATAAATCAATATCCCTAGATATATAGATTTCCCCCCTAAATCACAAGTTATCTAGATGGTTCATATTTTCATTCAAATATTACTCCCAGTTTACTGTCATTCCTCAAAATTGCTGCTTATTTCCCTCATTTATATTTGAAACAAATCCACTATTTTATCTATAACAGTTTTTGGAAAAACCTTTTAGGTGTAGATCTTGTTCTAAACAACAGCTTGGAGAAACCCTGCCCGATGAGCGTTTCCCTAAGGCCATGTGTTCGCAGGCAAGGGTGCAAACCAGAAACGCCCCAGAGTAGAGGCAGAGTAAGGAGATAGACAACTGCTCAGTCCTGAGTGTGTCTTTATGAGGAGAATATTATTCATTTTAAAGCGAATTCACAGGTGGCAAGTCCATCTTCAGCAACACACAAAGAAACACCAACATGTACTCCAAAGTACTCAAGGTTTTGGATTATCCACAGCTTCGTTCTGTTAGTATACGTAAGGAAGACCTACCACATAAGCATTAATCAAGAGAGAAAAGGGACTGCCGGTAGTTCTCTGCAGAAGTCATCTGCTTCATTTCCTCAGACCCCCCAGAGTCAACGCTTGATTGTATGTGGCTCCCGCTCTATTAAGATAAGTAGCTGAAACTGATGTAATAAATATTACCAACACCTATTACGTATGGCACCAATCTGAAATTACTGGGGATACAAACAGGCGTGACCCCTGTCCTCTAGGATGTCCAAGAGAGCTGCGACCACGGGATAGACACCTTATGTCAAGTGAAGTGATATGCCTGTTAATTAAAATAAAAGTTGGCCTCATAAGGCAGTATTATTAGAAGGACAAATCAACAGTAAAGAACGCATACAGTGGAGTTTTGGTGATTTTTACCTTGAAGAAAGTACAATAAAGAAAGGGGGGGCCATGGGGGTGTGGGGGGGCACGCCAGTTAGCCAGGAGAACTCAGAGATGAGCACCACAGATGATTACAGATTCTAAGATGATGCTCTGACTGGGGTGCAGTGTGGTTTATAGACATTGTAAAGATTGAAATGAGAAAAGTGCACTGAATCCCAAGTGGCTGGGACATTATACACTCACGTACTAATGATAAGAAGTGGGGCAGTTTTTTTTTTTTTATTCTTATGTTAATCCCCATACATTACATCATTAGTTTTAGATGAAGTGTTCCATGATTCATTGTTTGTGCATAACACCCAGTGCTCCATGCAGAACGTGCCCTCCTCAATACCCACCACCAGGCTAACCCATCCTCCCACCCCCCTCCCCTCTAGAACCCCGTTTGTTTTTCAGAGTCCATCGTCTCTCATGGTTCGTCTCCCCCCCGGATTTCCCCCCCCTTTCATTCTTCCCCTCCTGCTATCTTCTTCTTCTTTTTTTTTTCTTAACATATATTGCATTATTTGTTTCAGAGGTACAGATCTGAGATTCAACAGTCTTGCACAATTCACAGCGCTTACCAGAGCACATACCCTCCCCAGTGTCTATCACCCAGCCACCCCAACCCTCCCACCCCACCCCCACTCCAGCAACCCTCAGTTTGTTTCCTGCGATTAAGAATTCCTCATATCAGTGAGATCATATGATACATGTCTTTCTCTGTTTGACTTATTTAAGAAGTGGGGCAATTTTGAAGCACTGAGAACAAGCACTTAGGGTAGTGGGAGGGGGGCCGAGGGAGGGAAGAAGGTATAGGGCATGCTTGTTCGAATGAGATACAGAAGTTGGGTGCTGGAGTAGTCTAAAGCAGAGAGCTGAAAAAACAGCAAAAACAGGCATTTCCTAGAGGAAAGCTGACAGGTCCTTAAGTAACCACAGTGACAAAGGACATGCGAAGAAGGTAGACAGGGCTGTGTGGCTCACTCTTATATAGACAGATGCAAACCAAGTTACTGGTTAACTCATGCTGGTGTCTAGTGACAGCCATTCTGATTTAAAGAGAAGGGCAGAGACAGAGCTTCAAAGAGAAGGAAGAAAAAGATGGCGAGCCCCACAAAAAGACAAAGCTACTATGAGTTCTAGAACCACCCTGAAATTCTTGCCTAGAGCTCACCACTTAGGCATGAAGACACCACACTTCAGCAAGAAAGACTGTGGGATGGGGTGGGAGGGAGGGCAAGAATGGGGAAGGAGGAGGAGGGAGAAACACTCCCATGTGAATTGCCAGTTGAGCAAGAAGGAAGTGACTTCCAACAAAAGGATGCTTCCTTCCAAAGAGCTTTGCACTGGAAGAGAAGAAAAAGTCTGGTAGCTGAGGGGCAACTCAAGATGTCAGGTGGGGAAGACCTGGGGCAGCTTCTGTGCTGAGTGAGGGTAAAGAGGCAGGGAAGAAATATGGAGCATTCTGGGAGACCGGGCACAATGGGAGCCTGAGAAAAGGAAGAACTTTTCATCTTAGATGAGAAAAGGGGCTTCTTTATTGACCTGGGAGAAATGTATATTCAAACCCATAAATGTTTTGGTAAAAAAAGCAAGAGATGCAAGGAGTTTGCTTAACTTTACCAGTGCCAAGTAGAACGGTCATATGAGGAGAATGAGGGGGAGCAAGGCACTTGGCCAGAGTGAAGGTTAGAAAGACGCTGTGGAGAACAAGAGAGAGGGTGTCCCAGAGCATCCCTGATGCTTTTAAAAGAACAAAATTTGCCATAAGAATTAAAGTTTGTTAGTAGTTGCTGGTGGGAGTGTAAACCGTTAAATCTTTCTGGACTACACTGTGGAAATATGTAATCAAAGCCCTTTAAATGTTCATGTATGTTGACCTGATAAATTTCTAAACGTAAGCAAAAAAAAAAGAAAGGTGAGAAACAAAGATTTAAGTATAAGCATGCTCAAAGTATATTTTAGGAATAAAAATTGATAATGTCTAATAAAAGGGGTAAAGTATATATCTATGACAGAATAACCATGTAGCCATTAAAAACCATGCATTTAAAGAATATTAAATCACACGGGAAAACACTGATATAATGCTAAAATTTTAAAAAGCCAGACAGAATATACTATGATTCCAATTTTGTAAAGTACACACTTAGAACTACTCCTACAATACCTTAAATGTATCTAGGTAAGTTATTTTTTAAAGATTAGCAAGATGTAGGCTTTATATTCTTCTGTATTTTACAAATGTCCTACTTTTATTTATTTTTTAAGATTTTTTAAAATTAATTAATTAATTTATTTGACAGAGAGAGAGAGACAGGAGAGAGGGAACACAAGCAGGGGGAGTGGGAGAGGAAGAAGCAGGCTTCCCGCTGAGCAGAGAACCCAATGTGGGGCTCAATCCCAGGACCCTGGGATCATGACCTGAGCTGAAGGCAGACGCTTAACAACTGAGCCACCCAGGCACCTCTGTTCTGCTTTTATATTAAAAAAATATTTTACCAAAAAGAATGGTTTTTCAAATGACGGTGCTGTAAAAGTTTGTTGTCCATTAACAACAACAAAAATAACTCGAATCCATACCTCACACAATATATATACTTAACTCCAAATGGATCAGAGACACAAATGCAAAACCTAAAACTATAAAAATTCTAGAAGAAAACAGACAAAAATCTTGTGACATTCAGTTAGTCAAAAATTCCCTGGCTACAACATTGAAAGCACAACCCATAAAATAACAAAGTTAAATGGATTTCATCACAACTGAAAACTGCTCTTCAAAGAACCATGTTTAAAAAAACAAAAAGACAAGCCACTAGAAGGAAATTTTTGCAAAGCATAAATTTGATAAAGAACTTGTATCCAGAATATATTAAGACTTCCAAAACTCAACAATAAGAAAACCACCCAATTGAAAAATGGGAAAGTATCTGAATAGACATTTTGCGAATGAAGATGGCAAATAAGCACATTAAAAGATGCTCAACATCATAGGTCATTACAGAAATGCAAATGAATACCACAGTGAGATACCACCATCTACCTACTAGAATGACTAAAATGAAAAACACTGACCGTCTGACTGGATCAAGTACTATTGAGTCTGTAAAGCAAATGGAACTCCTACGACTGATCACTTTTTAAAAGTCTGGCAGTTTCTTAAAACGTTAAACGTGTGTCTACCATATGACAGCCATTTCACACCTATGTGTTTACTCAGGAGATATGAACACACATATCAAAGGCCTGTACATGAATATTTATGCCAGCTTCATTTGTAATAGTAAAAAAAACTAGACACAACCCAAATGCCCGTCAATATGTGAATGGGTAAACAAGTTGTAGTAGATTCATGTAATGGACTACTAATTAGCAGTAAAAAGAACTATGCACACACACAGCACCATGGAGGGACTCGAAATAATTACGCTGAATAAAAGAAGTCAGACAGAAAAAGGGTAAATATTAAATGATTCCATTTATATAGAATTCTAGGAAATGCAAACTAATCTATAGTGACAGGAAGCAGCTCAGTGGTTATCTGGGGAAGGGAGGCGGGGGGATTGGGAAGGAAAGCTCAACAAAGGACATGAGTAAACTTCTGAGAATGATGGTTATGTTCACTATGTTGGTTGTGGTGAAGGTTTTAGGGATGTGGACATATGTCACAACTTGGCAAATTACACCCTTTAATTGTGTGCAGTTTATTAAGTATCAATTGTACCTCAATAAAGCTAGGGGGAAAAGCCCAAGTTTTCATATTGAGAAAAACAAATTAATGAGGATGACAAACAAATCTTCAAATGAATTTACTGAAGTGTGCCAAAAAAGCAAAAAACAAAAAACACCAAAACCAAAAACCCAAACCACTTTCTGTGAACTGATAAACTAAAATCCTTTATAAGGGCAATGACTCAAAATGACTAAAATCTTTCCTTCCCATTCACAGGGGGGGAAAAAAAGAAAAAGAGGAATACTGGCTTAAATGTAAGAATCACATTCAGTCCTTACTAGAAAGGCTATGTCTGGGCAGTTTTTAGTCACATTCTCAGCTGTTGCCCATGGAGGAAGCCAGTGCAGTTCACCTGTTGCTTTACAGACTGGCACATCATACTAGATGATTTAAGGGCTCCAGGAATACACTCGAGCTGGAACTGAGACCTGCAAATAATAAATAGTTCTGGGATAAGTTCCATTTATCAAATACCAAAGGAAGTACCCACTGAAGCGATTCAATGCAGCCTCTGTACAGACCTTTTAAATATGTTAATTAGTGGTAGCCTTAAAAAGAAAGAAATGCCATGCTAATTGGTAGGCCTGCCTTTGATTAATTAAAAAAAAAAAACAACAACGAAGTTACACTCCAGCCAAGATAACAAAAGAACAAGTACTAGCCAACCATGGGCAGGTATTCAGGTAGAAGGAGTCAGAAACCGCGGAGTGGGTCTGGGTAACTTGAGGCAATTTGTTATTTTTGGAGTGAGAGCGAGAGACAGACTGCAGCTAAGAGGCTGGCGATGGGTGGAGGAGCCTTGTATGACTGATGTTACCAGGGGCTGAAGAATTTTAAATTATACTGATAATTTACAAATTACCCTAAATGTAGGTACCTGTACAATTTGCTCCCCCCACTCCCATCCCCAGCCACGTTTCGAGGTAATTCAGAAAACCACCAATCTTTGTGTGCTTTTGTTGCTTTCTGAAACAGAATTAAGTGGGGATTCTCCTATCAGTTTTTATTTAGGGTAACGTTTTTTTCAACGAAATGTGACCTTCCAGAATTATAAATTCACTTAGGCCTTTGCGGGGTTTGCTGACAGGTAATTAACAAAAGGGGGTTTAAATCTGTCACTGTGAGGCCTCAGGGTCCTCTTTCTTGAAGCTCAACCAGGACCTGGCGCAGCCCCTTCTCCACTGCAGGACACACCCCTGCTCTCTCCCCTCACCCCACTCTGAGAGGGACATGTATTACAGAAAGGTTGCCCACCCATAATCCTAACGGGGACAGGTCTGGCAACTGTCTTTACACCGCTCCTTTGCAACTTGGACTTGGAGAGTGCCTCACCACACAAACGCTCACACCAAATCACAGAGCCTAGAGCACTACAGAGAACAGTGCGTGGAGGCAACAGACTTGCTTTTTGGGAATCAGAACAGTGTTTGAATCCCGCCCAAGCCTTGCTGTAAGTGCAACTTTGGGCAATTTCATCTCTGTTCAGCATTTTCCTCTGCAAGACGGGAATAGATACTTACCTTGTGGTGAAAAGTAAACAGGGTCGTGTATGTCCAGTCTCTGGCATAGTTCTGGGG